TATGTAGTATCTCAGCGCCGTGCGTGTGGGTTTCACCATGTCTTGAACCTGTATAGTACAGATGTCAACTAAAACATGCTTACATCACGAACTTGTTTTGAAGTTGTTTCACTCTGTAATAGTTTAGATCGTCAGCATGATGAAAACGCAGACACTAATGTCATGTATTACAAACAGATCACCTCTGTAGACACCCGAAATGGGCGTGACACATTGTATCTATGTGGGGCTTCGAACCCGACCTCGGACGAGACGAGCCGCAGTTTCACCACTTAGCCTACCCTTCCCCCTCCACGGGCCTGTGTACTACGGATATTGCGATATAGTCAGGTATGCAGTTTAAAGAGAGGTTTGAAATGAAGTTATATACTGAAACTATGTCTATCATATCTACACATAACACAGTTTTGAGACAGTATGGGTGTATAATGTCAAGTGTGACTGCATTTGTTGGGCAATCTCTTACAGCCTACTTTCGTTATGGAAATGAGTGTTTCAATCTAGGTCAGTCCATTATATACACGACAATAAACGTGAATGCACCTATTGATAGCGACTCTGGTGATATGAAAGGCCTTTGTGAAAACTAACCAAACGACAAAACTCTAAGCATATTATCAAATCTATGCATATCATAGAATACATTTTCGTAAAATATATCTGGCAAGTTAGGCTCTAGAGTCGTATATTGGGAAGAAATGACGGAGAGATAATGTAAGCAATGACAGTAGTACATGTGCAATATCGTGTTGTATACTTGACACGTGAACCCTGACCCATCGTGTCTTGTCTGAAGGTGTATTGCTAAGGTGTCGTTGCTAAAAAGTACCCGTTTAATACGGACTCAATCTCACCCTTCACCGACTACGGGGAACGAGGACGTGAAGGTGAGCAGACGTGCGGGTCATATTTGACAGATTTCACGTACACTACAATGACCAGATATAGCGACGTAATTACAGAGTGAGTGAGTGAGTTCAGTTTTACGCAACACTCAGCAATATTCCAGCTATATGGCGGTAGTCTGTAAATACATGTAATCGGGTCTGGACCAGATAATCCAGTGATCAACAGAATGTGCATCGACCTCCGCATGGCAACCAATGACATGTGTCAACCAAGTAAGCGCGCCTGACCACCCAATCCCATCATAACTCAGTGACCAATAGACAAGGTGTGAAGTAAAACGGTGGTGTTAGTCTTATAGTTCCTGTTCGAGTCCTTGTCTCTCTGTTGCCTGGTCTGCTTTCACTATGTACAGGTATATGCGCAACCTAATCTCAGTTGTGATGGTTTGTAGACCTACTCGAGATACACTGACTCAAGATGGGAAACTATTATGGCTGTCATTTCGACATTTAATACAGCAGTCAGACAAAAATGCATAATGATATAATGATAGTGTTGGCGAAAAGTAGATGCAAATGAGACCTGATATCGAGGTCAGTGCATTTTTGCGCGCGATATGCATACATCGACCTGCTAAAGGCGACTGTGGTGATAACAAATCAGCCTTTATGAGAGACAAATCGAAAAAATGAAATACATAGGATCAAAATCTGACCATAATGCAATTATATTGATTCTCAATTTGAATTCCTATTGAAATTCCTATGTGTATGTATGGTCAAGTTGCTGAATGGTTAAATATCATTCTCTGTTGTGTTTCCTGTGTAAATCATCTACAACATCATTAGTACCATCTGCATGGGTCATTAATGTTGTTTCCTGGTGCAAATATAACATGTCGGGTGTACAGACGTCTCTAAGAACGCGTTGCGTCCAACGTAAACTGGACGTCCACTTAGTTTGGCGGAAGTAGTGTGACTGTTTGGACACCAACTTTACACAATGGCAGAACCGAACTGGTTCTTTTTTGTGACAGTACTGAGGTACAGCAGATTCATCTCAATCACTAACTTTCAACACAGTCGAGCATTGATGAGCTGGACAGTGCGGCTCTACAGCATCAACGGCAGTCGTGGACAGTACCACAGCTGACACTGACACTAGAGGCCAAGTGGGCAATATTCCCGATTTTGTACCTGCCTTGCTAAGGAGCTATGGTCGCATCACATGTGTCACGAGTGCTTCGTTGTTGGGCAGGGCCGAAGACTCTCATGAGTCAAGCTGCCAAACACGGTCATCCATCCAAGGACTCTCTGTCAAGATCAGTATTTTACGTCACACTGGAACAGTTGCTTATGAATACGTAACGGATCGACCAAACGCAGCCGGGTGGTTGGGTATATATGTTACAGGAAATATGTATAATCAGTAAATATGTATAATTACTGACAATTTCAGTAATTATGTATAATGTCTGATTCACTCAGGAAGTATGTATATTTACTGAATTTTCAGTAATTATACATAATTCCTGAAATTTAAGAAACAAAATTATACATATTTACTGAAATCATTTGAATTACTGAAATATTGATATTACTCTGAAAGTCAATCTGGTTTTTATAGATATGTCTTCATTTTTAGGAACAAGGTACAGCACATTGATTTCATAAATTTTATTTCATTGTGTTCTTGAATGTTTATTTGAACATGGGAGTGTTGAGTGACACATTGAATCTTTGCCTTGCCTTTGCCTTGGTCTGACAACGCTTTGAACCAGCACAGTTGCATTTAGTGAAACCTTGTCCACTACAATAAGGGTGTTGGTGAACAACTTGCCGAAGGGAAACGGTTTTCTTCGTGTTGAAATCATCTGCAGAGTACATTCTCGTAGCACACACGTCGAATTGGTTACGAGCATACTTCCCATCGAGCACACCACTTTTCACTGCTATAGTACACATTTCGCTGTCACTGCGATCAATCACAACATGTACCATCACCAAAGCTGTCCACATAATCTTCAGCTCAGAAATAACCTGGGCAGTAAATTCAGATCCATTGTCACTTTGAAGAACGCATGGGGCACCTAAGAGGAGGAAGATGTCAAGAAGCTGATACGCCACTTCTGCTGCGCGTTTAGAAGTCAGGGGTCGCAATACACTAAACTTAGTCAGATGGTCTTGGGACACCATGATCCATTTGAACTGTCCTTGAGTCATGGATTGCATGTCGATAAGATCGACTTGTGCTCTGGAGTTGAAGTCTTTGGAGATGATTGGCTTCACTACGGTCCCTTTTGTTGTAGCTCTATTACACTTCCGCTTGCATTCAACACACAAGTTCTTGAAGAGGGTCAATGCTTTATTGTTTGAATACCGTGAAGACCATGCTTTTCGATAAATAAGTATAATTATGTTGTGACTGAACTGCACACAACCTTCGATCCTGCTGTATTTTATATACCATAAGAAGACATATCTATGAAAATCTGACTGACTTAAGTAATATCAATATTTCAGTAATTCAAATGATTTCAGTAAATATGTATAATTTTGTTTCTTAAATTTCAGGAATTATATATAATTACTGAAAATTTCAGTAAATATACATAATTCCTGATTGAATCATACATATTTACTGATTATACATATTTCCTGTAACATATATACGAGGGTCACGAAGTGCATGTGGAGAACAGAACACGTGGTGTCTAGTGTAGACATTACTGGTGGATGGAGTGAGCTGGAACGCGTGAGTTATGTTTCAATCTGTTTCATAGATAGAATTACACATGCTTAAAGCAATGTTTAAATATGTTGTATAGTTAAGTTGTCATGGATATGATTAATGTTTAAAATGTTCAAATATGTTGTATAGTAAAATGTTTAAATATGTTGTATAGTTAAGTTGTCATGGATAGGATTAATCATGTTTAAAGTTTGATGTTGTGTATTCCGCACATACATGTAGCTTTGCGAACGCAGCCTGTGAATTGTATTTGGTAGTTTTGCAAACGCGCTGTGAAATATATTTTGTAGTTGTGAATGCAACCTATTTTGTAGTTTTGTTGGAGTTCATGGTGTGGGTGTATATAGACTAACTTTAAGATACACTTGATATGTCTTATCGAGATATCTTATCACTTATAAAATCTGGATATCACCTTTACTGAGAATGTTAAGATGTTCAACAAAGCGTCATTGCAAGTAATGCAAGTAAAGTATATGAATATATTTGTGTTGCAGTTACTCCGCTCCTGCCAAGGTGATTGCAGGAACAACATGTACTGACCTTTACAGGAGGGCGGACAGTCGCATGGACTGACGGTACAAGGAGGGTGAACAGTCGGAAGGACTGTTAGTACAAGAAGGGTGGACAGTCGGATGGACTGATGGTACAAGGAGGGTGAACAGTCTGATGGACTGTTAGTACAAGGAGGTGAACAGTCTGATGGACTGTTAGTACAAGGAGGGTGAACAGTCAGATGGACTGTAAGTACAAGGAGGTGAACAGTCGGATGGACTGTTAGTACAAGAAGGGTGAACAGTCGGGTGTCACAAGACACTGGTAACGTGCTGGACCAGAAGGGTGCTCCTGTGTCACAAGACACTGGTAACGTGCTGGTCTTGAAGGCTGCTCCTGTGTTACAAGACACTGGTAACGTGCTGGACCTGAAGGCTGCTCCTGTGTCACAAGACACTGGCAATGTGCTGGACCTGAAGGCTGCTCCTGTTTTACAGGACTCCATTAACGTTAGGGTAGCAGGAGACGAGTATGAAGTATACCCTGTTGACGTAACGGTGTTACCGGTGAATGGTACATACACAGTGGTTCTAACAGACTACGACAACAAATGTGTGAAGTCCGTCTACACCAGGAACACACAACGATGTCACAGCAAGCTCAGCCTGGGAGGTAGACCTTGGGGTATAACAAGGCTGAAACACAACCAGGTGGCTGTCACTGACAGACAGATTGTAACACTTCAAGTGAGCCCTTACCTGGTGCTGCTGTCAACCATCACAACCAGCAAACAGTACTGGGGTATAACGTCTCTGACACCATCAACACTAGCAGCAGGTTCTGGTACATGTGTGGATATTCTGGACATGACAGGAAACGTCCTAAAGTCCGTGAACCATGTTAATAGTGGAAAAGAGATTGTACGTTCCTCTGACTTTCTTTGTACAACAAGAACAGGAAACATCCTTGTGTCAGATGACAGTTCCGAGCGTGTCCTGTGCCTGACAGCTGAAGGGGACGTTGTGTCTACCTACCCTACAACAGGACAAACACCACTGCGACTTCCACGTGGTATCACAAGAACCAGCACAGGTGACATCCTGGTTACTGACTACGATGAACATACTGTTGTTCATCTGACTGAGTCAGGACAGTTTGTCAGAAACATACTCATCGAAGATGATATTGCCCTGCGTTCGAACGGAGTTTGTGTAGATGGACGTGGCCGTGTGTATGTTTGTGATGGGTACACGGGTGAAATTAACGTATTCAGTTTCAGCAACACAGTATAGAGCTTTGGTTCATTATAAACTGCTCATTGTCTCTGTAAATATTCCAATGAACTACATTTACAACGACCTCGTGACTGCAGATTGACTGAGCTGGTGTCAACAAATCATCGCATACAATATACCTTGTGACTGAGTATAACTACTGTATAGCGTGACTGATTATATCTAATATGTAGGAGAATGTATATATGTACATATTAGCATGTGTATTTTAATTTGTCTAACCCGAGCTTAACCTCTCAATCTAACCTGCTTCACTTTCACAATAGCATAGTCACCTTTTATTGTCTTGCCCCAGCCCCGGCACCCTTGTATTTAACAGCAGGGTGCTTTGTGGGTCAGCTACCAGTTTCATCATAAAAATATCAGTTGTTAACTCACATATTTAACTTTAAGTCAATCACAACAATGCTGTCTGCACCACTGCAGTCGTAGATGTTGGTGAAGTAATGCAAAATCTGGCAGGACGTCTAGCACGTATGGTGTCAGCCCGGGACCGCCACATGTCCCAATTAGTATAGTCCCAGGAGCGCCACAATTGATTTCACTGCAGTTTGTGGCATTGTGGGGATTATATGGTTGAGTGTTTACCGTTTTCTGAAAAAAGAGCTCACTGCTTAAGTCTTAATGACCACATGTTATCTCTGCCTTTGGTTGTTACAACACTTATTAAGTTACATTATTGATCAAAGAGCCGATGGAAACAATCAGCTTGGCATCGAGTTAATGTTGCTAAGTAAGCAAGTATATGTATATAAAGACAAATCTGTTTGACACTGAGTTAAAGTTGCTCATAAAAAATCAGTTTGGCACTAAGATGATATTGCTAAGTAATCAGGCGTGTATATAAAGACAAATCAGTTGACACTGAGTTAATGTTGCTAAGTAAACGACCATATAAAAACTTTTCTATTTCAAACACTTTTCACCATTATGGCTAATGTACAAGTGCAAATAACAGTATTCGAGAACGTAAGAGGTGGCTACAATATTTTCATTGATGGCCACATATGCCGTTGTCGCAGCATTGGCTTCACTTAAGCTAAGTAACTATCCACATCGCCTTCAGTTTGAGTTTCGAAAACATCTTGGAGCTTATACAGCTGCACTGACATTGATAGAAACCATATCATACTTTAAAGAAAGGAAATCTCCAGTGAATCGTGTATTTCTCGATAATGAGAAGGCTTTTGACTGAGTTTGGTTGGATGGACTGTTCCTCAAACTGTATAATCACGGGATAAGAGGTAAAATCTGGAGACTGCTTCGAATGTCATACTTGTCCATGCAATCATGTGTTTCCTATGCTGGTTTCCTGTCTGATGGTTTTAGAATTAGTCAAGGTGTAGGGCAGGGGCGAGTGATTTCCGCTTGGCTATTCATCCTATCAACGATCTAATACAGAGTTTAGATAACTCGGGTCTAGGTCTCCAGCTTCCACGTGGACACTGTCCAGGTATTCTTCTTGCTGATGATACCACTTTTACTTCCAGCAATCAACGTAGTTTTCAGACTCTTCTAGAAGTTTTGTATGATTATGGTGTGAAGTGGAAGTTGAAGTATAACGTCAGTAAAAGTGTATTGTTTGTATTCAATTCAGACAGATCTCTTACACCAGTTAGTCTGTATCTTGGTTCTGTGGCCATCCCTCTCATGCAATCTGTTACGTACGCTGGAGTTCAGTTGTCTTCATGTAATAAGTCGTATGATAGAACAATGTCATCATGTGAAAAACCCCGTAAACTAGTTATATGTATCATGACCTTGGCTTGTGCTATGGTTCACCCAATCCTGTTTGTGGTTGTCGTATATGGAACAACGTCATTTTACCATGTGCTCTATATGGTTGTACTGTCTGGACCAGGTTAACATCAAAAGTATTGGATATGTTTGAGTTAACGGAAAGCTATTTCTGTAGAAAGGTACAAGGTCTGCCTAAACGCACTGCTTCTCTTGTGGTTCTAGATACCCTGGGTCTACTGCCAATTCAAGGGTATATAGAAAAATCTTATTTGCTTATGTTTGGTAGAATCTGCCGGCGAATAGTCCTTGGCGATATTCTGTTGACACCAGGAACTGTTGGCGCTGATTGGTGATTCGAATCCAGCTATCGTTGCGTGGCGTGGTTACAGGTGGACGGCCACCTCGGGGACGGTCTGCAACGACGGCGTTTTGTTGATAACATCTCCACAAGCGGTACATGTGTTCCTGTGCACGTTAAACTGCTGTGCACTGTTGCGTGGGGTGTTCCGGTTTAAAGCATTCCAATGGCTCGCCACCTTTCCTTTTCAGTTAGCCGTGGCATAGAGAAATGCAAGCAGATTCTTCCAAATTTCTGTTTTTCAAACCCGTAAATGTCTAAACAATGATTTGGGTGACAATGATTCGAGGTTTAGAGCCACACTTTTTAAAGGGCACGTTTCATGCCTTTTTATGACTTCTTGAAAGCACGAAAAACGCATGCAAAACAAAAACTACAGGACCCTCTTTGGGTTTCAACCGTTATGGATTAAGTGTGTTATAAACAATATTAAAATGCGTTATAAACCTTTTCTCATTTATATAAACAAATGTGTTGATCACACTAACTTTAGCCTTTGAGTATGTAAACCAAATTAAGTATGTGATATATGCAGCTTAACTCGGTCTCAGCAAAACTTAAATTATGTAAATTTATCGTGTTGACCTTGCGTTCTGTTGTCATTGGGGTGAAAGTGGTCCAGTTGATTGTGAAATCTATGTTCATGGTTCAAAGCAGTTTCAAACTTATTCCTTGGGTAAACCAAAGAACTGCCCACTCCGTCATTCAACCAACCACTCAACCAACCAACCGTTCAACCCACCTATCACTCACTCAACCAACTATCCACTCAACCAACAAATCGTTCAACTACCCAACCACCCAAAACACTCAAGCAACCAGAAACGTAACCATTCAACTACTCAACCTACTATCAACAGCATGATCATAATCATAAATTCGCAAGACTTCAAAACCTTATTTTGAAAGTGATGTCTCTTGTCGCTAACTTTGCAAAGATGTTATCTAGGTCATAGGTTGGGATACAAAAGTCAACTAAAATACTCACCAGAGAGGAGTTCATCATGGGACCACATTCAAGTCTGAGTGAGCCTGATCTTTATATTGATCCAGGAGCCTGTTTCCAGTGAATGTTTCGTTAAGATGTGTCTCCTGCCCATAATTATGGAGACGTGTCCGTGAGAGACAACATGTGTCCACAGTTGTATTTAAGACAGCAGGTGATAAGAGGAGTTGCTACAGTCTTTAAAGGAAAACGTAATTTGATTTGACTGTTGGAAAATAGGTCGATGAAATTTATTACAAGAGAATGGTGATACAGTTCAGTGGGTAATCATGTATGGATGGAACTTGGCGTGGACAGAATGTCTGGAGAGACGCAAAGAGCCAAGACATGAAAGGGGGAATGAACATTCACTACATGTAACAATGTATAGATATGTCAAGAATTGTAAACCTGGCCCAAGTGTTTTGAATTATATCAAACTGATAGGTGTGAACAAATCTGTTTCTGAAGTGTTTTCTATGTGAAGGAACAGACCTTTGAACTGACCAAACGGTTGAAGATCACAGTATTGAAGTGTGTCATTTTACGATTTGTTGTTTGTGAGTTGAAGGAAGACAGGAAAATTATGGCTGCCATTAAACAATTAAACATTTCAGATTGTCATCAGCTAATGATGTTGTCAACAGATGCACACTAAACTTTCAAACTATCTGTTAGATTTGATTGGTGGTGGTTGGTCCTGTCATGTAAAACATCCCCATTTGCTGAACAGAGTTGCATCCCTTGTACACGCCAGGATTTTGCTGTGTGATATGTGGTATCTCAGCACCATGACCGTGTGTGGGTTTCACCCAGTCTAGGACCTGTATCAGTGCAGATGTCAGCTAAAACATGCTTTGATCACGAACCAGGTTTGAAGTTGTTTCGCACTGTAACATTATAGATCGTCAACAAAATAAATACGCAGACACCGATGTCAGGTACTACAAACAGATAACCTGAAGACACCAGAAATGAGCTTCGCCTATTGTACCCAATACAATATGGGGCTTCGAACTCGACCTAGGAAGAGACGAGTCGGATCTTCACCACTAAGCTTCCCCCTTGTCCCTCCAGGCACTATGTACTATGGTTCCTGCGATATATTCAGGCATGCAGTTTAAGGAAAGGTTTCAAATGAGGTTACATACACCTGTGTTCAAATGAAACGACACTTAGGTTTGAAGTTGTTTCGCACTGTCACATTTTAGATTGGCACCATGATAAAGACGCAGACACAGATGTCAGGTACCACAAACAGATCACCTCTGAAGACACCAGAAATGAGCTTCGCACATTGTACATATGTGGGGCCTCGAACATTACCTCCAGGCGCAGTAGCCAGTCATTTTTTCTTGTAAGCCCGATGTTAACGCAAGAACACAAGAACTGATACTCGCATCAACAAGGTTTATTGTATTGATATTATAGGAGTTACAGTTCATAATAAATGGCTGCTGCTGAGGACTTGATAAATATTATTGTGTTCACTTGAGGAGTAAAGTTGCTGATGAGTTGCTGAGGTTCAGAAAACTACAACAAACAATAGCTTTCGATGAATTCAGAAAATGTACAAATTTCATAGCACATAACATTCAATATTTCATTCGAATGATATGTGAATACATTGAAATTGCAAAATTAACAACCACAAATTTAAACATAATTTTGTGAAATATATTATCAGTTTTTGCACTAACCAATTAACATTTTGGCATATATACAATTTCATTGTAATTTAGAGATAGTTCAAACTAGCAATGAAAGGGTAAAGTACTCACATGTGTGTCTTTACATAGTTCAGCTTACAGTCAGCTGGGTGACAACCAGGCAGCATGGAGGTCCAATACACACTGGAAAGCATGTGCTCCAAAATGCATGAGCTTTGGAGAGGTCATGATGTGACCTGTGAGCTTTGACATCCCACATGAAGGTTAAGGCCACAGGGTAGTGAAAATTTACTGGCCACATGTAAACATTGTTTACACTTTTGACTGATAAGGATTTAAATGGAAATGAACTTTAGATGATAAAGTGTTGTAATTATTGGACCACCATGGATAAAATAATTAACGCCAATTGTAACAACTTAGCAAACAATTTCATTTTAAAGAGTTTGTACATTGAAATGTATGTAAGGAAATCTTGCATTTACACCCGATAGGTTGCCACGCTTTATTTTTATAGTATTGAGGGCTTGCCCAGCTTTCATGGCGATCTTTAGCAAAAAAGATGTGCAAGCCCGTTTTTTTTTATAATGTTAGCTACGCCCCTGACCTCGGACGTGACGAGAAGGACCTTCGCCATGAGGCTTCCCCTTCCGACTCCAAGCACGATGGACTACGGATTTTGCGATACATGCAGTTGAAAGGGAGGTTTGAAAGGAGGCTACATACTCGTGTGTTCAAATGAAACGACACGCAGAATGAAAGCAACTACAAAACGCTGTGTGCATTATCGTGTTATTCCCGTGACACCCTTGACCCCTGTCGCCTACAAGCCTTCTTTGAAAGAAAATATACTTGTAACCCAGAGCTCAATAACGGGTAGTTGGGGTGCTTTCCGACAACCCACTGCTAACCAGTAGCTATTTATCACGGGATCCAATCTCCCTCTACACCGCCTGTGTGGAACCAGGAAGTAAAGGTAAGTGGGCGTGCTGGCGATATTTGCCAGATTTCACGTACAGTACAATTCTAACAATGACCAGGTATAGCGATATCATTACTCCGTGATTGATGGACAAGGTGTGAAGAAATACGGTGGTAATAGTGTACTAATTCGGCCATTGTGTTATCTTTCCTGTGTGTGACCTCCCCACTGCTGTGTTGACGTGTCTACTATCGTTATGTACAGGGACTCGACTACCCTGACGTCAGTGTATCGGTAGGTCCACACACCAACTAGTGTGATCTCACACAAGTTGGTGTGTGGACCTACCGATACACTGACATCAGTTAATTACTATGTCTATCATATCTACACATAACACAGTTTTGAGACAGTATGCGTGTATAATGTCAAGTGGCACTGCATTTGTTGGGCAATCTCTTACAGATTACTTTCGTTATCGACATGAGTTATGCAATCTTTGTCAGTACATTATACAGGCGACAATAAACGTAAATGCACCTGTATAACGCGACTCTGGTGATACGAAAGGCCTTTATGAGAGACTAACTAAAGACAAAGTATATCATTAAAAGTAAACGTATCAAAGTCTACATTTTGGAAAAAAATTAGACTAATGCTTAGTCTCTGAATAGATATAATTTTGATAGTAACAAACAAACCTATTATAAATTGAAAAGGAGCCCCAGGGAGACCAGAGATTCAGAACCTGGGGAAATCTAGACTTGCTTCAATTAGGGCTTTAGCACTGCAGGGGAGGCTAGGCTGTAGGGAAAATAATGTGGTTCAGGGTCTGTGAGACAGACTAGAAAAAATATATGTCAAATTAGTTTCAAAAGTCGTACATTGGGAGGAAATGACTGAGAGATAAATGAACGTAAGCAATGACAGAAGTATATGTGCTTTATCGTGTTGTATACTTGACACGTGAACACTGACCCCCTCGTGTCTTCTCGGAGGGTGTATTTACGTCGTGTTGTGTGTCGTTGCTGACCAGTAGCGGTTTATTATGGGGCTCAACCTCACCCTTCACCGACTGGCTGGAACGAGGAAATGAAGTTGAGTAAACGTGCAGGCGGTATTTGCCAGACTTCACGTACACTACAATTCTAATAATGACCAGGTATAGCGACGTAATTACGCGGTGATCAAACGATAAGGGGTGAAGAAATACGGTGATAATTGTCTTAGAATTCGAGCCTTTCCCGCTATGCTCCGTGGTCTACTTTCACTATGTACGGGTATATCGTTATGTACAGCCTAATCTCAGGTGACTCGGTCTGTGGACATAACGGTACATTGACTCAAGATAGAAAACTATTAGGGCTGTCATTTCTACATTTAATAAAATATTTAGACAGTAAATATTCATAGCTGGAGTCGCGTTTGTAGGCACAAGCAGCTGACACCAGCCTAGCTACTTTCGTTATGCAAATGAGCGCTGATATCGGAGTCAGCGCTTTATGTGCAAAGTGCACGAGTCATTGTTGCTTCTTGGTGTATAGTGCGTTTGGCTCAAAAGCAGACCGATGAATTGCAATCTAACTAAAAAACTAATAAACATATAATACTCAATGAAACGCTGATCATAATCAAAACATCAGACCAACTCTGTGATTTGTTTGCAGAATTTATGTCCTAAAATTAAAAAATATTGACACAGTTCACTTTTTGTTACGAGGGGGGAGTGCAGAGACAGGGACAGCCAGGTGTTAGAGAAGCACGTGCACAAGTGCCGACAAAGTTATTGATTCATTAACCTGTGCTGTGCCGTCTCCTTCTTTTCTCGCACACACGGCTGTCCCTTTCTCTGCACTACTCCCTCGTAACAAATAGTGAACTGTGTCGATATTTGTGTGTGTTGTCGTCTTCATTAACGTTTTGCGTCAAACGTAAGCTGGACGTCCATGTAGTTGGCGGAAGCAGTGTGATTGTTTGGACACCAAGTTTACACAATGGCAGAAACAAATGTGTCTCATCTTCATCACTTCATCACAGTGCCGAGATCACGCAAGCTGAAGACAAACCTGTCAACCATCCTAGGACTCTCTGTGTACAACATTGCTTAACTTTGACTGATTAGTGACCTGGGGTATATGCACAAGACGACACCCCAACAGGCTGTTCTTGTCTCCCAGGGTGGGCACACAAAATATTGATTGGAGAAGACCTTGATCTTAGAATGTTCAGTCTTTCTCCAGAACACATACACACACACACGTGCACGCACGCACGCACGCACGCACTCACGCTCGAACGCACATACATCTGTGAGGCTTGTCGGCTGTGGTTGCGCTGGTATGTTCAGAAATTTGAAATGAACACTTACTATCGTCTATATATAAAGAGAGAATACTAAATGGTGTCCCGTATAATACCTTATTCATTTTTTAAATATTCATTTATTACCCATCCAACATTAGCACAATAATATATCAGAATTCAACTTACAGAACGAGTGCATTACGCCGTCATAACAGGGGTCACGCGTATAAATACATTTCATTTACGATTGTCAACAATTTGATTTTTTTAAGATGAACAAGGGGTTATGAAAAAGGGTTGAAATAACTTCAACCAACATGTATAAATGCTATTACACACAACCGTTACTTTGGCCATATTGCCTAGTGCAAATAGTCCCGGCAGTATGCAATGCGTAATAACATTGAAGATTTAATGTATCTTCCGTTTGCAGATGGCGACGACTCAGAAACTGCAGGAACATTTCCTCACATGCACCATATGTACGGAAGTATTTGACAATCCATGCACCCTTGTCTGTTATCACACATTCTGTCGGAAATGTGTCGTCAACTACACTAAAACCAAACCGGAAGCCATCAGTGCCAAGTCTCTGCTGTGTCCTTTCTGCAGCAAGATGACGAAAGTGACCTCCCCTGAGAGACCAATAGATGAGTGGGCGGATGAGGTCAAGCCGAGCTTTGTCATCCAGGGACTGCTAGACTCATTTGGCCCCGGATGTAAAGGTAAGGATCAATGGTAAACTGGTACTGCAATGCACTATGGTCTATTGGATGTGTCTTGCACCACACTCAAAAGAAAGGAAGGATAGACACGTGTAAAATCTGTTAAATATTCGTCTGTGGTCGTCGTATAAAGTTTGTAGCCGTCCCATATTCGACTCTTAACCTTTGCGAAGGCAACACACTCCCTTACCCAATGCGAAAATGACTGAACCAAATCAACATGTAATTGCAAATACATTCATTATTTACTGATACAAATTTCAATTTGTACCCCCACAATACTCATGAATGTAGTGGTTCTGCATAGCTGTTTTCCAAATATCTTGGTTGAAGTTAAAAGGTAGGGTAGTTAGGGTTCAAGTGATACCTCATTTTTCATTATGTCAAACTTGTCATTCAAGTTCCCGAAATCTGAAGTCAGCCTTGCAGATATCTGTTGTGAGGTAGCTTACACTAAAATTACTAGTAACAACAATTCATAAACCACAAAAAAAATTGCAGTTGCGTATACAGATAGAGTGAGTGAGTTTAGTTTTATGCCGCCTTTGGCAATATTACAGCAATATCACGGCGGGGAAACCAGAAATAGGTGTTAGACATTGTGCCCATCTGGGAAATCGAACCCGGATTTTCGGCGTGACGATCGAACGCTTTGACTACAAGGCTAGCCTACCGCCCTTAAATAGCTAGACGTGAGAATAAACACTCGATATTACGATGCTGAATGCTTTTCATTCAACCTTGTTTTTTTTTGTCCAGATACAAAGAACTGCACGTGCTGTCACAGCGAAGGGGAAACAACTCCAGCGACTGTGTGGTGCTCGGTATGCGATGACGCCTTGTGTGATGTATGTGCTAGGGTGCACAGTCGCATCTCATCAACTCGTCATCACGATACAACCGCCCTGACTAGTGAGGCCATTATCCCAAGGAAACGAAACATTAAGTGTAAAGAACACAAGGATGAAAACATCAAATTCCTGTGCAAAGATTGCAAGAAAGTCACCTGTCACACCTGTTGTGTTATCTATCACAGGAAATGTGAGTCAGTTGTCACACTGGAGTCGGAATTACCTGCATTAAAGTCCCAGCTGTTGAATAAGAAGGAAACTATTTCGAAGAAGCAACTCCAAATGGAAGCAAGAGTTGATGCTGTTAAAGTGAACGTCGTATCTGAAAAAGATCGATATGCAAGAATGGAACATGACATCAAGTCTTTTGCTAACAACGCGAGAGAAAAGATAACTCTCATGGAAAATAAACTTCTAGATGAACTGAAAGAAGTTTCTGAAAAGCATATTGAACAACTCACAGCCGACCTAAAGTCGGGTAAAATGTCAGTACAGATGTACCGACAACAGACTGAGCTGATAGACCGGATTCTACAATCTGAGTGTGACATGGACGTGTATGAGATGTATCAGGGATGTGAGGCCGGTGATGTGGATGCTGTCGGAGACGTAGACTTGAAGAAGAGAATAGCCAAGATCATGTTGAGACAGAACGAAGCCATGCTGAGTAGAGCTCTGGACGATCTACAGCTGGGTGAGATAGATGTCCAGTATGACGGTATGGTGAACTTGGAGGCAACACCTGTATCTCAAGACACCAGTAACGTGCTGGACCTGAAGGCTGCTCCTGTGTTACAGGACACCATTAACGTTAAGGTAGCTGGAGGCGAGAATAATGTATGCCCTTTTGACTTAACAGTATTGCCGGTGAATGGTACAGACACAGTGGTTATAACAGACTACAACAACAACAACAGTGTGAAGTCCTTGTACACTAGGAACAAACAACGACATCACAGCAAGCTCCAACTGGGAAGTAGACCGTGGGGTATAACAAGGCTGAAACACAACCAGGTGGCTGTCACTGTGCCGCATAGGAGGCAGGTTGTAACAGTTGAAGTGAACCCTGACCTGGTGCTGCTGTCGACCATCACAACCAGCAAACAGTACTTGGGTATAACGTCTCTGACACCATCAACATTAGCAGCAGGTTCTGATAAATGTGTGGATATTCTGGACATGAGAGGAAACGTCCTGAAGTCAATTAAACCTATAGATAGTGGAAAGGAAATCATACAATCTCCTTCCTTTCTTTGTACAACAGGAACACGAAACATCCTTGTGTCGGATGACAGTTCCAGGCGTGTCTTGTGCCTGACAGCTGAAGGGGACGTTGTGTTCACCTACCCTACACCAGGACACACAACACTAAGATATCCACGTGGTATCACAAGTGCCAGCACAGGTGACATCCTGGTTACTGACTACGGTGAACACACTGTTGCTCATCTGACTGAGTCGGGACAGTTTGTCAGAAACATACTCACTAAAGATGATGGTGTCTCGTACCCGCACGGAGTTTGTGTAGATGGACGTGGCCGTGTTTATATTGGTAATTACCGTTCAGGTGAAATCAAAGTATTTAGTTTCAGTAACACAAAATAGACCTTTGATTCTTTATCAAGTGACCATTGCATCTGTAAATATTACAATTAACTACATTTACAACGACCTCCTGACTGCAGATTGACGGAGCTGGTGTTGATAAATCATCACATGTAATGTACTGTGTGACTGAGTATATCTAATATATAGTGTGAATGAGTATTTCTGACTGAATAGTGTGAATGAGTATATCTAAGGTATAGCGTGACTAAGTATATTTAATATACTGTGTGACTAAGTATATCTATCTAATATACTGTCTGTCTGAGTATATCTAATGTACAATGTGACTGAGTATATCTAATATACTGTGTGTCTGAGTATATTTAATGTACTGTGTGACTGAGTATATCTAATGTAGAGTGTGAATGAGCATATCTAATATACTGTGTGTCTGAGTATATCTAGTATACAGTGTGACTGAGTATATCTAATATACTGTGTGACTGAGTATATCTAATGTACAATGTGACTGAGTATATCTAATGTACTGTGTGACTGAGGAGTCTATTCTATAACCGAGAATATATGATATATTTTGAGACTGGGGAAAACTGATATTTAGTGCCAGTTAGTATCACTTGAATGCCCATTGAACTTCTTGTACCGTATACAAATCAGAATAAGTTTTATTGTGGTGTATTAGTATATGTAGCAGGACTGAATCAATGAAGACACACTTACTGGTATCGGTGTATATTATTTTTGGCTTAAACTTAGAATGCAAAGCATAATGTGTACATGGGCTACTACACTATTTGTGAAATTACTAACATTTCTAAATTAATCCATTTGTATATTAGGTTCATCAAAATGGACTGATATTCTGCCATTGTGAACAGTTCCACGTATGTGACATTTGCTTCGGTGCTAATCACCTTTACCTCAACTTTTCTCCAGCAGTAACAGAGACTTCTGTGTGTGTGGAGATGAATTTACAAGGTTTGTGTTCCGTGTGATATGATTTACTACTTCTCGATCAACGCGTTTCCAATTACATGTACTACATCAACACGTTTCCAATAAACGAGATCAAGTACTTCCTGTAAAACGACTATTCTCAATAGCCTGTCAAAGGCACTCCTATGTTCACAGGGTGTGTCTGCGAGTAGTTACATAGTAAAACTTGTTTCCATGTTTATAATTATAGTCAAGCAGTGTTTTGTATCTATTGTCAGGGTTCGGGGGCTGAAATTGTGTTCCCTATAACCGTTTGCTGTAGGGTTAACGGATGACAGTGTCATCAGGGTCACGTGTATCCCTGTGATCTTGGTATGGGAGTACGTTGTGCAGAGCTGTGTTTATTAGGAGCCGTAAAACCCGGTTCGGTCTGGTTATCCTCAAGATTCAAGATTCAGTAACATACTAATCTTTGTATAGCGCCAATATCCAGCTGAGCTGCTCAAAAACATTTTGTTTTTCCCTTGATCATTGGATGTCAATCTCAATGGCACATCGTATTTTTCAATCTCAACTCCCTGGGGATTATACAACTTTTGCAGCCATTTAGGCGCAGTGTAGACATTACTTGATTATGATTAAGGAACAGTATGACTACCCATGTGTAAGAGGGACAGTGTGACGTTGCAATTGTGAAGTGAATATTACATTTAACCTCTATCCACCGACTATCCATGTGTTAGAGGGACAGTGTGACGTTGCAACTGTGAAGTGAATATTACATTTAACCTCTATCCACCGACTATCCATGTCTTAGAGGGACAGTGTGACGTTGCAACTGTGAAGTGAACATTACATTTAACCTCTATCCACCGACTATCCATGTGTTAGAGGGACAGTGTGACGTTGCAACTGTGAAGTGAACATTACATTTAACCTCTATCCACCGACTATCCATGTGTTAGAGGGACAGTGTGACGTTGCAACTGTGAAGTGAACATTACATTTAACCTCTATCCACCGACTATCCATGTGTTAGAGGGACAGTGTGACGTTGCAACTGTGAAGTGAACATTACATTTAACCTCTATCCACCGACTATCCATGTGTTAGAGGGACAGTGTGACGTTGCAACTGTGAAGTGAACATTACATTTAACCTCTATCCACCGACTATCCATGTGTTAGAGGGACAGTGTGACGTTGCAACTGTGAAGTGAACATTACATTTAACCTCTTTCCACCGACTATCCATGTGTTAGAGGGACAGTGTGGCGTTGCAACTGTGAAGTGAACATTACATTTAACCTCTATCCATCGACTGTCCATGTGTCAGAGATGCTATGTGACTGGACCAGATAATCCAGTGATTGACTTTGTGAGCACCGCTCAATACCGCTTCAGAACACCTGGTCCGTTAATCGCCTCATCACAAATTATGTTGCTGGGTTGCTGATCGAAGTCCCCATGGGTCCTTACAAATTGACTGCAGTTTAAAAGATATGTGAATGGCACCGTCGAAGGTATATTTTGACTGAGCAAATAAATGATCAAATTTACCAAACATATCACTGGCCTTCTACTATTTGTCATCCACTGCCATCCAAAGCAGTTCAACCTTGATTTTAGACCTGTCAATCACTCAACCAACCATTCAACCCAACAATCACTTAGTCAACCATCCAACTACTTAACTACTTAACCACCCACACACTAACTCAACCAGCCACTCACTCAACCATCCAACTACTTAACCACTCACCCACCCACACACTAACTCAACCACCCAGGAACCATATCAACCGCTCAAGACCATATCAAGATTTCAAAACTTCCTTTCAAAAGTGATTTTCCTTGTCGCTAACTTTGCATAGATCTTATCCAGGTGACATGTTGGGATTCAACAGTCAACTAAACTACTCTTTCTACCGGACAGAGAGTTAACATGGACCCACAATCAAACCTAGGTTCTAGTTTCATTGAGCCTGATCTTCATATTGGTCCAGTTGCCTCGTTTTCAGTGAACGTTTCGTTAAGATGTGTTTCCTGCCCATAATTATGGAGACGTGTCCGTGAGACATCATTACATGTGTCCACAGTTTCTATTTAAGACAGCAGGTAATCAGACGAGTTGCTGCAGTCTTTAAAGAATAATGTAATTTGATTTTAGAATGTGTTGAAAATTAGGTCCATGGAATTAATTCTAAGAGAATGGTGATACAGTTCAGTGGGTAATGATGCATGGAAGGGACTTGGCGTGGACAGAATGTGGGGAGAGGCAAATAGCCAAGACATGAAAGGTGAAATGAACATTGAATACTAGTAACAATGTGGATGTGTCAAGAATTCTAAACCTCAACCTCGACCAAGTGTATTGAATTCTGTGGAGATCTCTTCTTTGAGTGGCATTTCTGAAGGTGGGAAGTACAATGTAGACACACGTTATGGATAACAACATCTTTCATCTGACTTCCAATACAGATTCTTTTACCGTTGTCTAGCAGTAATGTTTCATAAAGTTAAAGAATTTGTACGGAAACGTCGCACTGACGAAATAAAGAACTTGTTAACCTTACAGTTTGTCAATATTAGTGAGGATCACAGTAAAAGGTGTGACCAAATCTTATTCTAAAGTATATTCTTAATGAAGGAACTGACAGACTCACTTATCGCGCAGTCGAAGGCACCACTTTTCCAAATGAAGGGTTATGCCATTTCACCTGTAAAGATCTGCTGTTTGTTGGATCAAATTTGTTGTTCAAGGCAGATACTGAAATTACTGTCATAGTTGCCTTTACGCAATAAAACATTTCATATTACCAACGGACAACCAGATCGTCAAAAGACTTGCAAAGACTCTCCACTTGCAAACTTTGTTATTACTGCCAGTAGTTTTGATTGGCCGTGGGTGGACCAATCGTGTGAAGCACCGCGATTCGCTGAACAGAGTTACATCCCTTGGACATGCCAGAATTCTGCTGTACCCAATTATGTGGTATCTCAGCTCCCATTCCCGTGCGTGTGGGTTCCACGCAGTCTTTGACCTGTATCAGTGCAGATGTCAGCTAAAAATGCTTTCATCACGAGCTAGGTTTGAAGTTGTTTCGCACTGTAATGTTGTAGATCGCCAGCAACATGAAGACACAGATTTATTATTCCATATCGGAAGGAGGACACAGGGTAGTACTTTTCCCATTCGTGACCAACTCGTGTTCCTACGAGACAAACCGAATAGCCACCCGTGCCCCTCTGGAAGGATTTCATATTGGCGCATGAACATCAGAACTAATTTAAACAGGAACGATAACTCTATTCCTGTTTCATTCCAATAGTACCCAAAGCACACATTTTGCTGTTTTCCATTTTGCTTATTTACTTTAAAGAATTAATCTTTTTGATGCAACTAAAAGACGGAGAAAAACATATTTGTTAAAGACATATTATGACGTAATTATTACCAGCTGTTCACCTTATGTTTCTAGTGGTATTTCTGAATAGGGCTGAATAATCACAAATGCGGTTTGTTTTATTGAAAAACTTCTACATTAAATCTCAAAGCAGATACTCAAAAATGACTTCAACATATTTTTCAAACTGAAAATTCGCGTAACCTTGCTGTAATTCCCGAAGGGGAACTTTAAATGAATTCGTTGAGATATATAAGACTGAAAAGAAACCCCAAAACATGTCAGACTAAAAGGGTTCAGGCTAATACGTCACCACAGCAAAACGGCACCTGGCGACAACGGCACCATCTGGACATTACGGAACCTCGGACGGCTACAAATCTAAGGCACCAACTAAAATCTTATGGGGAAATTAGTTTGTCATTAGATAATTCTGATCTAATGAAAACATCGCAACCTTTGATATTTTAAGTACATTTACTCAACTGAAATCGCCCAAACTCAGTGTCAAAATGAAAGTGTATTTAAAGCGCACAAATGTACTCATTACATAACATTCAACACAATGTCTCACCACTGTGTTGTATGCGAGACGACCGTAAGAAAGAATCAACATGCTGTATCTTGTGACGAGTGTGAATTATGGACTCTTGTGTTTGTGGTACCGGCTTTTCTGTATCACGGTACCGTGGGATTTGTCAAGATGAAGACTTCCCTTTCGCATATGTGCGCTGTCGCACGAATTCCTTTGACAACATTATGGACAAGGTTAACTCGGACTACACCTGACCAGCTGCTGAGCAACCACAGACATTAGGCAGCACAATTCTGTTAGCTATGTTCTTGGTACTTTCAATATGACGATGCTTATTTTTCATGATGTTTTAAACAATGACACAATGCCATAAACGATTTAATTACTCGGGATTATTTTTATCAAAGCACCGCCTTCAATACGTTTCATTATGATTGTTTTTTCGTATCTTTTCGACTCTGGAGATATGAATAACTTTCACGAGAGACTAATAAACCCACAAAAA